ACCTAGCGCGGAAATTTGTAGTATGAATGCAGTCCGGGAAGCAGTTTCTGGGAGTTGTGGCCTCAGAACTGTCAACTTATGTGGCCAAAGTGCATCTGAGTGCGTGAGTGCCAGTGTCCCACAAGAGTGTCCCTCAAGAGTGTCCCACAAGAGTGTCCTGCAAGAGTGTCCCGCAGAGGGACGAAAGTGTCGCACGAGAGTGTCCCACAAGAGCATTCTACGGCGTTTCCTACAGGAGTGGCAAAAATGTTGTGGCGTTTATTTTTGAGTATGTGTTTGAATTCGGGTTCGTGGGTTTGATCTTGTTTTTGTATAAGCTGGGGGGATTTTTCCAAAACCTGAGGTGATCTCTGAACCCAAGTTCCTGTTTCGTGGTTCCCTTTGTTGTCAGAAAGAGAGTTTTTGGATGTGGCTGAGGTGCCACAGCCCTACACCACGACTTATACTACGCCTCAGGGCTAGGTGTGCGGCCGCTGCCTTTTGTTTTGCACGGAACGGTGCAAAAGAATTCCATGTTGTCATGGTCCACATCATGTGGGCGTCTCTTCTTATGGCCACGGACTTGCAACAACCCTTGGAAACCACTTGCTGCATTGTGCTGCGTCCGATTTGTGCAGGCTGGGCCCACCAGACTGAGCCGGTACCATATGCTGACAGAGAGTCGGCACATCAATTCCTGCAGAGGGAACAAACACCACAGATTTCTGCCCTTGTTCCATTTTACGCCAGTGATGTTTTTTCACGGTTGGTGAACTATTGAGTGGGCTAATGTGTGCACCGGGTTGTTGTGAGGTGATGCAGCCAGCACATGCGGCTCACAAAGCTTTGGTAGTTTATGTTAGCGTACTCTGGGCAGGCACTTGGACTTTTGCTTTGCATTAAGCCTCGTGAACGGGCGGAATGCCCCATCGAGAAGCGGCGCCTCTTCCTTTTTCTCAACAGGTTGATAGGTCAATTTTTCACTGCTCACTCTGAGCTAGTGATAGGATGGACCAAGTAACAAGTAATGTCTTAGGAAGACCGCCGCCCGGCCAATGATTTGCAAGCGGCATGGGAATCTTAGGGTTGGTCAAAAAGATTGCCAGCAAATCCAGTGAGCAACCTGCACATTCCCATGGACAATCTAAGAAGCCCTAATGGGCAGAGGGCAAGTTGGATGCTAGTTGAAAGGCCCTGGCTTCGCCTGGTCTCGCGTATTGCCAGGGGTCGAGTGGCTTGAGGCTCAGGTGCCTGTGCAAACACATTGGGCTCCTCAAAAGTCAAACAGTGACAGGTCTGAAGTGTTGAATGAACCAGCCCCAAGTCTGGGATATCTTCAGTGCTGACCAGCACCAACCTCTGACCTGCAGAAAGGTCTTAAGTGTGGGAGGTGCAGTTGCCGTATGGATGAACATGGAAACAATGAATGACTTGCAATGCAAGGACTGAATTGGGCTCGGCACCAAAAAGCGCGCATGCAAGATTCAGCGGGGTGTGGGAAGGGCAGCGGGAAACGGTTGCAGCTACCGAGCCTGTCCATCCGGCCCCTGGAAGAGGAAGCGGAAGCTTGGGCCGAGGATTTGGATATTGAAGGATTTGATATGATTTCATGGATTTGAAGGATTGTGAGTCCCGTTAAGGTCTCGGAAAAGCTGGGTGATGGCAGTGACTTGGATGTAATGTGAAGGGTGGGATGCCGGCCCAAAAACTGTAGACTGGGGGCCCCTCCAAGTTGGTCAATGAGGAGATCCATTCGCATAAGAATTGGGAATGCCGTGTATTTCGTCCATCTTGCCGAGTTGCCTCCGATTAGCTCGCCGAGGTGTTTCTCCTGCAAGGCCCAATTTGGTGCTGTGAGTTCGCGGAGTCTGCGGTAAAAGTGGCTGGAGGGTCCCACTTAGATGATGAACAGAGAGCAGCTAAGCAAAGCACTCAAAAGCACTTAAACCTTCAGCGCTTTCCGGTGCATGGAAAACCATCCCCAGATCAAGGAGGGATGTGGAGAAACTTCTAACTGCTTTTATTGGAAACAAGTTGGCTGAAGAGCCTGTACCTTGGCTGCACGTTGCTTTCATTTTGCTGCTGCCTGCCGCCAAGCGCCAGCAACAGCATCAATCCGAATCTCTTTTTCTTCCCGACCGTTGGGTTGTGACGGTGGTCAAATTTTCAGTTTTGAGGATGTCCTGGTCATGGACGATGGATGCCCAAGATGCCAAGATGCAGTCCAACACAAACAGTGAAACAAACTACAGTATATTTGCATCAGGTGACACTTGGAAAAGTGAGACTGCAGATGGCAGCCATGTTGTTGCACCAGTCAATGACAGTAAGCTGTAAGCTTGAAACCAGGACCACCTAGCCAGAGTGCAGATCTTGATCCTGGAGCGAAAGACTACACAGTGTAGCTTCAAAATGAAGCAGCTGTATTTTTCATCTTTAGGGTAGAAGAGCGGCCTGCAGTCGTTGTAGGTCGTCTGAGCACCAGGGCGCTCACACCACGTATGAGGGCCACTCATCTGCATCAGACCTTCATCAAAACTGAGCAACAAGCCCTTCGCTCAGCGACGGAAGCCATGAGACTGTAAAGCACTCCATCGGCCTCCGAACTGCGACACTCTGACGATCCAGGCGTGTATTTGGAAGCTGGAGATGGATGCTCTCGGTTTAGACGTGCTTGGGCATGGCATGAGGCTGTTTGAAGCTGTTAGAGTTCAATTTGAGTCGTTGGAGTTTCAGCTCCAGCAAACGCCACAGCTTCGTTTCCTGCAAGATGTGCTTGGGCTTTGGATCACCATTTTCTGCCTGTTAGTGGTCATGAATTGTGGGACGTTCTGCAATTTAAAGTCCAAGCACATGGGAGGTCGCAGTTTAGCACGCGCCAAAATGCCAAATGTGTTTGTGTCTGGTGGTGGGCCCCAACACTCAGTCAAACACACCGGCCACTATTTTTTCATGTTCATACTGGAGGCCAAGTCTGGGGGCAGCACTAAAGCTGGATGAGTTGAGCAGACAGTGCTGGCCCAAACAGACGAGCACAGACTGCTTGTCCAAAGTCCAGAGCCATGTTGGAAGAGGAGGCCTCGCCGGAGATGCAAAAGAAAGCACAGGAAGCTCAATTATTAGCCAAAGACCTCGTAATTTTTGCATGCCGCCCAGGTTATTTGTGACTTAAGGAGTTTGCAAAGGCTCACTGTGAGGCCTACCAGGCCTGGCGAAGAGCTATCAAACCACCAACTTGTTACTACTAGTAAGGCACCTGTTACTAGAAGCGATGCACTTGTTCCTAGTAGCGAACATTGTTACTACTAGTAAGGCACCTG